GGTGCTAGGGTGTGGCTCTGTGACTAGGTGCATGGTGGTGCTGGTGACTGTGAGCACCTGTTATATGTCTCTTAGGGTCGATCTGACTGCACCTTCTGTTAAGTCAGTCAAACAGCACAGTATACTGGAATGTTTTTTCATAGAGATTGCAGTGCCCTTCCTACTCAAGTCTTCATGGTGTACACATGGAAGGTCTCTGCTCAACTGTCTATTTCTTAGGAAAGGGGAATTCCCTGAGCACCCTTCCTGTGTGGTGTAGTCATCTCCTCTGCCTGTGTTCTTTTTACTCTCTACCCCTTATGCCTCCTTTCCCTCTAGAGTATAAGGGTATCTATCCTTGGCAAGTGCCTTGCTGTGCCATTGTCTCCTTGCACTCAGGCTGGGTCTAACGAACAGGGGGAGTGTGATGAATAGACGCATATATAATACAGCTACCAGTGCACTCTGGGTTAGCATGCAGGCTACAAATGAATGTTTAATGGGGAACTCAAGACCCAGTCATCTGTCTGTCACATGGAATCCCAGGCAAGGTCTATGGCTGCCCCTTACTTCCACCACCACTGTCCCCTCCCAGCGCATGTGTGGCAGGGAAGGCTGTTTGAGAAGCAGTGAGTGAAGCACTGAGAACTACTGGGCATGCGCTGCCTCTGCCTCTCAGCAGAGGCCAAGGAGGAGCCAACACTTCTCTAGGTGGAATCTTCTCAGACAAGCAGAAAGAAACATCAAAAGGCCATTAATACTGTAAAAACTTAAAAAAAAAAAACCCTCAAACTAAGAAAGTATGCTTACATTTCAAAATGCAACAAAGAGGTTGTTAAGGGAAAGTTAGCATGCTTTTCTTTTCTGTTCCTTTCAGCAGATAACAGAAAAACTGCCTCATTCACAGTGAGGATGCCTACAGAATCAGAGTCACACAGACCTCTACTCTGCTGGCCAAATTCTACTCCTAAGTCTTCCTCTTGAGGATTGGAAGCACTTGTGTCTCTGTGTCAGTGTGAATCTGAAGTGATGTGCTTCCACTTTTCAGCATCGCCTCTGTCACACCAGCATGCTGCAGGAGGCTGTTGACAGCTGGTGGACGGCAGTGTTAAGGCCACAACAAGAGTAAACAAAACAGTAACAAGCTCAAGGTCACAGTCATACAAAGGAAGAAGCTGCCTCAGGCTTTTACTCACTAAAGGACAAGTCAGACTTTACTGACTAAATCCCTGGATCTGATAGGATCTATCTTCACTGTGTCAAAGCTCTCCCATCCAAAGATTAGAATTGAGTGAGCTTTGTCTACTGTTTGCTTTAGCCCTGTGCACTTGCCACTGATGCAAGTCCAGACCTCAAGGAGGTCAGTGATAATATGAAACACTAGAAACTTTAAAGAGACATTTAACACTAGGACTTAAACACATGCCCTTCCAGAGACCTGACTGGAAGACACACTGTGAAGAGAGTTCTATAGGGAAGGACATGAATATTAACAGGAACCCTGCAGTGCTCATCAATAGTTATGACTTGATGAAATGATGACATAATGACAAACAATGAGAGTCTAGACTTTACGGAAGTAAGGACTGGTTATGATAGCCTATCCTAAAAGCAAATTTTACTCAAACATCCCAAAGGTTTCCTTTAACAAAGATATATATTTAAAGTGAGGTTTTGTGGGTTTTTTTTTTCCTTGCTACCTTTTTATTTAAAAGAAAGGAAGAAAGAAACTAAGTAAGTAGCAGAGGAAGGGCAAGAGTATAGGTACCTGGAGTGTCATTACGTTCACAACTTGATTTAATAATCGGATCATTCAAAGTCTCCACTTGCTGTTATTAAATGAAGCATATGGTCAGGTTAGAGAAAGCTGAGGGATTCTAGGTGTGTGGGGAAGGAACTGAAGGGTTCCTCAGGCCTCGTTCTGGACCAGCCTCTACTAGTGAACAACTGGGGAAACACAGATACCCCACAGGGCTCACATTCTCAGTCTCAGGTGGTGTCAGTTCTTCTCACTTGAGCTCAAGTGGGATCCACCAGGCTAAAGGCTGTTTGAGGGGAGAGCTAAGCACACAAACCCTGCCCTAGACATGGGGCACACAAACCCAGTCCCAGCCACAGGGTGTACTCAAGAGTTCTTGCAAAGCCTGAGAAGGTCACTGGGCCAGAGCTTAGCATGTACACAGTACTCTAACTTAGCATGTACACAGTATTCTAACTTAGCACGTACACAGTATTCTAACTAACTTAGCATGTACACAGTATTCTAGCTTAGCATGTACACAGTAGTCTAACTTAGCATGTATACAGTATTCAAACTTAGCATGTACACAGTACTCTAACTTAGCATGTATACAGTATTCTAACTTAGCATGTACACAGTATTCTAGCTTAGCATGTACACAGTATTCTAGCTTAGCATGTACACAGTACTCTAACTTAGCATGTACACAGTACTCTAACTTAGCATGTACACAGTCTTCCACCTTGACATTTTCCCACCAAGGTCACAACCAAGTTCCTGGGCTAGTGGGAAAAGTTAAGTATCTCATAACTACATGTGGGCAACCATGGTTTTTCACTAAGTAAATATACTTCCCCCTATGTTAAAGAGGATTTTTCTTCCTTTCCTTAGTCATCCTTAAAAAGCAGCTCATTCCCTAGTACAAAGTTCAAAATACACCATGAACACCACCTCTTCTGTGCTAACTCTAAACAAATCTTTGCCAAGCTGGTGAATCTTCTACTTCTGAGACCAGACTCTTAGAGCAACTAGAAAGGTTTATTTTAAAATGCTCTTGACTTAAGAAGATGGACAGAAATACATGTAAATATCAATCTCAACTGGCTTCCGTAGCACGAATAGGAATAAATAATCCAGATCATTGTGTTCCGGATAACAAATCCCAAGCTTTTGCCAAGGAGACAGCAAAGACTGATGAAAACGGCAGGGCTGGTTATACAAAGGTGGGCATAGGGAAGCACACACCAGTGTGTGTGTGTGCCCAAGATGGTAATTGATGTGGATGCTGGGACACACACACATAAACAAGACTGAACAGAGATGACTGCAGACAGAAGGAAGGACACTAGCTCAGCTGTATCCCAGCAAGTTTGTTGGGGTTTCACGGTCTAAAAAAAACAAAAAACAAAAGAATTCACTGACAGCACAATTTCTATTGAGAAGGTTTAAAAAAAAGTTCCGCCTCGTTCCTAGACAAGTCAAAAAAGGCATTTTTAGAATATAGAGAATTGTATTACAAAACTCACTACTATGTAAAAAATTAGAGACTGAAGATCCCTGATTCTACAGAGTGAATGCTCATTAAATACCCTTGAGTATCTGAAGCTATTTAAAAGCTATTAGATTGGCACCTGGAACCCCCAAACATCTACTCTCCCCTGGGATAGAGAGGCTGTGCCTCTTCAATCATCCCCTAAATGCAAAGAGGTTTGACCCCCATGCAATAGATAAAAGTCACCCAAAAAATGAACAAAAGAGGTGTTTGGAGAAGCCGAGCACCATTCATCCCAGCTAACGACTTGTTCATTATGAGTGATGATGGATAAAGACTTCTCACGCTGAGATGAAATCAAGATTTATATGCATTGTTTCCTCTCCCAACTTGTGGGAAGATCATCATCATTTAATTCTATCTCTGCGGCCAGTGATGGGCATCCAGAGAGCTGGTTATCAAACGGCGCAGTCAGCTGGCAAAAGCCGAAACGTGCAGTTGGCACATCTGGACGGAGCCGCCACAGCCGAGGGTGAACAATGACTCCTGGCAAGCATCCAAATTGCTTGCAGACGCTAGCAGGTCTCATCTACAACCGCCCCTACCAGCATCTCTCTCTCTCTCTCCCTCGCTCTCTCTCTTTTATGAGAATCAGATTTTCATTGCTCCATTCAATTGCTCTCGTCTGCCATTTTTTACAGCTCTTATCGTCCCCTGGAATATGGCCTTGAGACAGCTCATCCGTGTCCTTCACTGTGTTATCTCTTCTAACTTTTATTAAAACTTCAGCTTTCATCTGAAGATAGCTAATTAAATCTGGAACAGATTATATGCCTCCCCTTAAAAAGAGAACACAACTATTTTCTTCAAGCTGAGCAATGCCCTCTTCCTTTCCAAAAGGTGAGCTCAAAGGTATTTAAGAAGTCTCTTTACTTACAAAGCTATGATATTTGACTTGCTATATATGGGCTGACTTTTAGTATAGCAGTCTGCTATAGATGAGTCTTTAAATTATTTTTGACAATAACTTTCTTAATATTAGTAATATTTGTGTTCTAAGTCCTTTAAACGTCATATCTAACAGCACAAGCCTGTTTTCTACAAGAAAGCTGGATAATGAAGAGTTAGAGATTAATAGCTACATGGGTACATCAAACAATTTATCTTTTTAAAACCATCTTTGTAAAATCGCCCTCATTTAGCAAAAATGAAGAGAATGTCCTCCTACCCCCATATCCTGAAGCCTAGCAATTGAAAATATTCCCATGTAAATTGTGTGAAAACATGAAATTAGAAGCAGTAGTTCAAGTTTAAGGTTTTGTTTTGATTTCTGTGGTACTGGGGAAGGAAGCCAGAACCATGCACACGCTAGGTAAACATTCTGCCACCGGGCTATGTCTCTACCTCCTTGGTTTGGATTTTAAGACAGGTTCACATTTACTAATGGTAAACACAAATAGTTCTGTCTTAATTTACCACAAACTATTAATGATGAACTGCCCATAACTGATTTGAACATGCTTGTCTGACATATGCCATTGACCCAGTTCTTTCTGAGGCCCAGAGGAAATTTTAAACTATAGGTTTGCTAGTCACGAAAACAATGTGGCCAGACATCCCCCGCTTTCTCCCTCTTCCTCCCGCCCTCCCGCGCGCGGGCCGGCCCGCGCGGGGCCGCGCCCTCCCTCTCTCTCTCTCTCTCACACACACACACACACACACACACACACACTGCCTTTTAACTAAGTATTAAGCCTCTATGGCCGTGGTATAATTTAACTAACACACCTGAAATTTTCTGGGATCCTTTTCTTCTTTTCACTGCCTTGAGCAAGATCTCCTTCATGGTGACCTTCGTGTTGTCCACTTGGATAAGGGAGAATCCATGAGCAGCATTTCTGTTGGAAAAGACAAGAATAAGAGTTATCACTACAGCTACACTACACTGGGAAAAGTTCAAAACAATATTATAGAAAATGCTGGTGAATATTTTGGAGAAATCTACCAGGCAGTGGTGGCACACATCTTTTATCTCAGCAATCAGACAGCTGGTCTACAGACTGAGTCCCAGGCAGGCTACACAGAGAAACCCTGTCTTGGTAAAACAAAACAAAACAAAACAAAACAAAACAAAACAAAACAAAACAAAACAAAACAAAACAAAACACCTATTCCCAGGCATCTGTGAGGGCATTCTAATAGAAGTAGCTTGAAGTGAACCAAGGCCAGGGTTGCTGCAGGCGTCTCTAATTCATTATAGATTGAACATGGTCTGCTTGCATCAGAAGAAGCCAGATTCCCAGTTTTGGCTTGGAAGCCAAATCCTACAAGCAAAGACTGACAACTGACAGAGTGTGATTTACGTCGGTCCATGTCACTACAGGCAGAGACTACTGTCACAATAAGCCCCTCAGTGCACAGAGAAAAAGAAAAGGCTCTTTTTAACTGTCTAGTAGAACACTGGTCTGCCCATCCATCTTTTGTTCTTAGTTTGTTTTGAGACAGGGTCTCACTATATAGAGCAGGCTGGCCTCAAACTCAGAGAGTTCCACCTGCCTCTGCCTCCCTCCTGGGATTAAAGGTGTGCCCCACCATGCCCATCCCATCCAGCTTTTAATATACAATCTATATATACTTCACTATAAATGATTTCTTTACCTAGTCCTACAAAATCAAACAAAATATTAGTTTAAGCAAAATAAATGAAAGTCAAAACACTAACACTGCTTGCAGGCTTCTAGTCAAATTAGGTTGGAGAAGAATTAATTTAGACTGAAAAGGAAAAAGAAAAGAAAAACAGCAAAGACACAAACAAATAAACAGGCAAATGGATGCTGAACCCAAACCAAACAACAACAACAAAACAAAACAAATGACAAAAGCAACAACAAAAACCCATCCAAAAACAAAGCAAAAATAAATAAATAAATAAACATCCAGTAGCCCATCATCTGAGTGAGCTGTCACTTCACGGAGACTGTTAATTGTAGTGATAAGTGTCACAAAAATATGCCTACACCCCACTTTGGGCACTGGAACAAAACATTCTAATTCCGAGTAACTCGTGTAAAAAAATGAGACCCAAGTTTCCAACTACGGAACATGAGAATTGCTCCAAGGAGTTTGGGCACATTCCCATTTCCCCAGAAGAATCTCAAAGGGGAACAAGGCCAGAAATCATGGCAAAGCTTAATACTGACAAGAAATCTGAAAGGAAAGCCAAGCCCTGGAAAAGCTTTCCAATGGCAGAAGAGTCTGGGATGGGGCCTAGAGCCCAGGTTAGACCCATCCAGGTGGCTGGTTCACCACAGGGGCTATGGGCTGATCTCAAAACCAAGGACCCAATTTGTTTGCCTAACACAGAGACATGTCCACAGCACTCCTCTCATACAGCTTGCTGTTCAGTCCCTGACGTTCCATTTGTTAGAGAGCACAAGGCTGATGCTGCTCTGGCCAGCACCACCATCCATTTTAGCTTGGTGAAGGGTCTTGCTATCGAACAGCAGGCCTGAGAACTGTCAAGCTAATTTTACTGAACACTTTGTTACTGAATCATGCCTGAGCTCCAGCCATTCTTTACCTCAGAAGCTGGACCCCATCCCAGAACAATCTTTAAAAGTTTATTTTACTGATCAAAGCAAAATAAGAAATAGCTCTTTTTAAAAAACTCTATTTTGGGAGAGCTGCTGTAAGTGATACTTTGGCAAGGGTACTGATATGTAAAGAGCCTTGTGCATTTAAAAACTTGCGGGTGTTTGCTCTGGCACTAGGCCAGTGAGTACTGGAACAAATGCCAATCAACCATACTCAGATCTGCCTTCCCCGGCTTTCTCCTCAGAAGTCAGTATGTCCTCCATCTGTGACAATATGTTGGGTGACAGATGAGTAGGGTCAAGAGGAAACACAAGTTCTCAGGGATTTGCAAACTAGTACTGGCCCAGGCCTCATGAACTCTCATCCACCTGGGAGCTATCTAAACAATGGTAGAAGTTGCCTGTTTATAAACTCCTACACTGGCTCCCATTCTGTGGCCGGCTGATAGCATCATTCCAAGCCAGTATGCTCAACTTTTTCAGCAAAGATCAGAGTAAAAGCTTAACCAGCAGTCTCACATCTGGACGAACTTTCATAAATTCAAAATGTCCTTTTAAAAGGTTTGAAGCAAAGGAAAATCCCTAGTCTGTATTTTTCTGTCATTTTACCAAAACATACCTGGGCGACAAGGTTAAAGCAAGCAGAGGCAATCCCTGGCCCTTCCCTCCACAGGTCTTACTGATAAATTGTGTAGTGGAGGAATAAAGGATCACCTTCTGTATTTTTTCATTACACTTTTCTTTTGTTACAGAATACATAAATCCATTGTGGCACAATGTAATATGTATCACCATGCTACACCTGCGGACGCTTCTGCGTGGCTGCCATGTCTGTGCAGTCAGGAATGATAAGTGAACCACCCGTGAATGTTAACGATAGTGATCATTCTGAGGTAACTCGGCTCTCCATCTTCCTTTACAGCCTCCGAGCTGAAGCCAGGGTAGCAGGGTTCATGAGAGGAAAATGAAAACAACAGTGAAGGAAGGAAGGAAGGAAGGGAAGGAGGGAGGGAGGGAGGGAGGGCGGGCGGGCAAGGCAGCATGGGAGGCGGATTCACATCCATGAGTGTGTGCTGTCTTATTCTGGGCTCAGGACAGGGCATGCTGGGGACGCAAGCAGAGATGACAACCGCCTTTGCACTTCTGTGAGATTCTTATGCAGGTCTAATATGAAACTCCACATCAGAGATCTGACTTACTGCTGCCAGCAGTACTTCAGTCAACGCAGAGCTGGGTCCTACAAGTCTGCTAAGCCGCTGTAGAACGTATGCCAGGGCCCTTCTTATCCCTGTCCCTCCTGACACTAGAGTGTCCTGAGAGTGGAGTGAAGGACCAGGAGGAGCGGGGGTCCCCAGGTGTTTCCCTCCCATCCCCTTCCTATTGCCACCCCACCACACCCCCGCCCCCAGAGGTCTATTGCAGGGGCAGGACAGTCATAGGCCAGTATATTGTAAACATCTCAAAAAAAGTGGGGTGGCTATACCCAACTCCCTAGGCCCTCAGATTCAGGCCCATATCTATAGCCTTTCTCCCTGGCTGAGCAGGTTCCCAGGAGCCCCTCATTAACTCTTTCCAGTCCTTAAAGGCACTTGTCACCAAGCAGGACCCACACGGTGGAAGGTAAGAACCCACAGGTTGTCCTCTGCCTCACATGTATGTGTGTTCTTACATCTATAAATGTAGTGATAGTAAGACCAAAACCCTCTGAGGGAGCATTGACGAGCCCCTGGGGGAAGGGAAGGCTGTCCCTCTTTAGAAACCTGATCTTAATTGAGGCTGGTGAAGTCACTCTTACCATCCCACTCAGCTGACTCTGGTGTCAACCCAGTGACACAGATGTTCCTAAAGGGACTATTTAGGCAAGTGCTAAGACCGAGAGGAATGGAGAGCTGGCAGCGGCTCCCTCCTGCAGCTAGCAGAGTGGTAACAGACCCCCTAGAACTCTGTATGGGGCCCAGCTGACAGCCTCGGGCCAACTGCAGCTCTTTTCCTCCCTGAGCACTCAGCAGATTTAGAAACACTTGCTGGCCTTAGGTAAAGATGAGATAACAGCATGACAATGGCATCCAAGAGACTTTCCTGATGGGGACCAGCTCAGCGAGCCCAGCGTCTGAAGCCACTGGGGTATGGTCAAAGTTGTCCCTTTTAGAAAGCAAGACTAGTTTGCTGGACCAAAGCCAGTCTGAGGAAGGCTAAGGGCAGAGGAGAAGAGCCTTTGTGTTGATATATGTCAGGAGTGCTGGTCTAGCCTGTGATGCTGGTCTAGCCTGTGGTTATGGCAGATGTATGCTTCTGCAGAGGGAGGAATTCCCATGTCTCTTGTGGTCCCTGCTCCCCAGTCTTTCTTTTTGCTTCTGTCTTTTGTTGTCCTTCCCTCTCCTGCATGGCTGCACGAGGAGGCATTTAAAAAGAGGTGACTCACTCAAGGAGCTCAGCTCAGTGCCTGTGAAAGCCATGTAGTGACCAAAGAGGCTTCTGGGGGAGGGGAGGGAGCTGGAGACATAGTCTGGCAATGTAACCCAGACTGGCAATGAACTTGAGACCTTCCTACCTCAGTCTCCAAAGCACTGGGATTTTAGAGTTATGTGACAGCTTCAGACTTACCACAGAATTCTGACACTAGCATTAGTCCTGGACAGTGAGTATTTTTCTAAGCAGTAAACCAAAGGTGACAGGAGACACAGGAAATAAGGACCTCATACTAAAGCCTAACTCTCTGGACAGGAGGAGCAGGGCAGAAGCTGGATACCAAGGGAGAGGGCAGTCTATTGAAGAGGAAAGCACACAGGCTGCAAGTGATGCGCCCTGTGAGTGTGATGCTGTAACACACAAGTGTGTGCATGTAACGCTGCAATGAGCTCCTTCCCTTTAGAACTGTCACACAATGGATGCTAGGCTCCTGGCACTGGGGGTGCCAAACAGTGGGAGGTGTTTCCTAATGCAGGCCCAAGTCATACCCCAAAAGAAGAGGCCTCACACAGCCCCTCTCTGCTCTAGCTCCAATCAAGACTGTTTCCTGGGAGGGATGGAATGGATGTCAGCACCCACTGCAGCTTGGGGGCATTAAACTGTGTGATGAGCTGCTTGGTGGCATTATTTAAGGGCACCGTCAGCAAGTAGGCTTTGATCCAAGCATCAAAACCTCCCCAAAGGTCAGCATTCTGGGTTCAATGTTCAAAGCTTTCCAATGACAGAGTAAAAAACTCAGAAGCAGTGTAACTTAATGGCTTTGAGGGACAGCGGGCAATAAAAACTTAGTCATACTGTGGGGAAAATTCAGTGAGAATTAAAGAGGTTTTAAATCT